TTAGTTACCCTGCCTTTCACACTTCCCCGTTCATGGTGATCTTTTGATGTTAGTATGGCAGTAAACTGGAGAACAGAGGGATTTTACATCCCTGGCATTATTAAATGCTTTGTGAATGGTCACTTGATGTAGTTTCATTACACATAGCCTGAGTGTCCCCAGTTACACACAAATGGGAATATGTCAAGTAAATGCTTTCATTGCTTATCTTGTGCTAGGTAAAACACTCCTCAAGTCACTGCTGGTAGTTTAACAGATTAAATGAGTCACCAGAAAGGACCAGAGCTGTCACAGGAGAGAGATTAACATTTGTCTGGGATCAAGGGAGGGGGGAGTGGGAAGGGCAGAGAAGTAGATGAACCCTTTCAACAACAGCTACTCATTACATCAACTCACCTGCCCAAGGGACTGCAGCACTGAATCACACAAAAGGGCCTTGGGTCCTGCTTGCTACTGGCATGAATATGCCTTTGCCATGTGGGCTGTTGAGTGACCTAACAAAACATCATCCTTTGTTTTATACAGAATTAATATGGCTAGAGATGCAGTTCTAAAGAATGCCATGAGCAAGGTCTTTACTCTTGCCATAAACCCAGGTTCAAGAGTCAGGATCCATTGATCCTTTTGCAGTGGATAAAAAAAAAAGTGAATAAAGTCAAGGAGAGCTTTTGTCCAGTGCTGATAGTAAACTCTCTTTGTTCAGACATACATACTGGCTTGGAGTCTCAGGGTGATTTTAAATGTGTGGGTTGATGACAGTTGACAGCAGCCAATCTGTAACAAAGCACCAGGATGGGTTCAGACAAAATGAGTTAACTTACTCCCTGTGACCTCAGCACAAAAATAGATCATTCCGTTCACTTGCAAGGAACAGAGGCATTCTGAAGAGAATGGTGACTCAAGTGTTCCCCTGCACACAGAACAGCTGACTGAAAAAGTGCAGAGTGGGACTTCTCATCACCTCTCTTACTCACTCAGTGTGCACTGGATGCTTTCTGGACACCTGCCTGTATGAGTAGTGTCCAATTTGCATGAGGTGCCAAAAGACAAGCGACTAGTTTTTGCCCAACATTTTGTTTTTCCCTTGGGCTGACTCAGTGCCTCTTTGACAGCCTTGCAAATGCAAAGTCACTCTGTGGCCAAAGGAAAGCAAAAAGTCCCTTGAGGTCTCGGTTACACAATGCACAGTTGCACAAAGTGAACATCAGCAAAGTACATGACCTTTACTCCTGAATCAGGCACTCCAGACCTGTCAGTCACAGGCATTGGATGTGCCCTTATTAATACTCAAATGGAGCCATGGCTGTTGAATGTGCATGCTGGGAAGTCTGTCTTCCTTCTAGCCCTGTGGCTGAGAAGGCTGTGGGATGCAGATCAGACCTCTTAGCCTAAGAGGGGAAACACTTCATACAAGAGGGTTTGGGCAGGATGCTGTGATATAGGGGTCTGGCTACAGCTGAGTGCTTTGTGGACCTGCTCCAAATCCCCTGGGTATTCCCAGTCTCAGCTCACAGATGGCACACCCCAGAGCTGGGACCTTAGAATGGTGTGGATGTTACCCTGTTCCGCAGGTTTCTGCCAGGGTCATTCAAGCAGTGCAGCACAGCACTGTGGTGCAGAAGTGAGACCTGATACTGCACACAGGTAAGTCATGGAGAAGAAGAAGAGGTTTTTAGGTTGCTCTGCTGACCCTAAAGGACATCCATGGGGGTGTCTGTTTTAGCTGGTAGCAAAGCTGTAGAGGAGCATATCTCTTGGGTGAAAGAACCAAAGACCTGCTATCCACACAGGTCATGCTTTGAGGGTTTTACTTCTGCATAGTTCTACTCAAGTCCCATGGACTCTATGCCATTTGCAGCTGCATCACATCTCTGGATTTGGTTTAATCCCAAAGGAATCCAGTCTGGGACTGTTGACCTTCAAGACACACCAGATCTCCATGGTTTTTTGGTGCCAGTTATGCCTGTCTCAGTCTGTTGCTGATAATCATTAGTTGAAGGCTGATGCTGTTACTTGGTGTCTTACCTCTCATCTTAGAGAATATGTTCTTATGAAAGGAAGAAGGATCTGTATATCCACTCTGGATGTGGAATTTTCCATTGCTGTAGGTATGACTTGGAATTCCATCTGTAAGCAACTCTATGCAAGGTGTATTTAAAGAGAATGTTGCATATTCTTGAGTATCATCTCCCCTGCATTTCTGTGAAAGATTATGAACAGGAAAAGTGCTGCAAACCCCATTTGTTAAAAGCACAATATGAAGGAAATAGTGCCTGCTAAGTGTTATAGAGGCACATAATAAAATATGTAATTGTCTACCTATATTATTGGACACTTATTTACCTAAAAAAAATCCATCTTCCTCTTCTACAGAAAGCAAGATGATTCTTAAAGAAAATGTGTCAGAATATCAACTAAAATTGACGAAAAAATTCATGTTCACTTTGTGCTGGATCCTAGCATTGTTTGTCAGTGGGGCAGAAGTTAGAGAGATCAACCTACCAGGTAAGAGTTTTCTTTGGTGATTGTTTGGGGTTTATGATGCTTTCTGAAAGCTGAGAAAAGAGGAGATGAATTTTTCCTTGTCTTCAAGAGCTTTTCCTGCACATGTCCATGCCTGTATCAGATAAATAGCTGTTTCTAGCCTTTCTGCACATTTTTAAAGTATTATACAGCTTATCCTAAATATGGCTCAAAATTTGGTTCCCTGATGAAAAGGGCAAATGTAAAGGAGAATTTCTGAGATCCAAATAGAGCAAATTAATTCCTTCTGTGACTCCTCAAAGTCTCCAGTAGCTGGTCCAAGCCTGTTGGGGAGCTGGAGTGAGGATAAGGAAGAGAAAGGCAGAATGAGATGAATATATCAGTCTTCCATACACACTATCTGGAGGAACTTAATCCAATTTAGTTTGTAGGGAGAAACTGAACTTGGAAAGAGTTTTCCAGGTGGATAGGCAAGGAACAGATGAAATCTGGACTGAAATCCTGTCATACTTTCAAGGGTCACCACAGCCTGACTGGCAGGAGGGGTTACCTAGCAAGATCAGTCAGCCCATAGAGAATTCGAGATTAGGATGGCTGACCACATCTTTCAGAATCAAAAAAATCTGTTTAATTTTAGTGATAGTTACTGAAACATAAGAGGGAGAAAGATCTGAAAGCAGTGAGAAAATAATATTTGTCAATTTTCACTTAAAGAAGACATGTGGTGAGCAGGAGCCACTTCTTCAGGTTTATGTTAGTCTTTTCTCCATCAATATGAGCAGAGCCAGAAGAGCTGCATCTGCTTTTCTACAGAGTTGATGTTTAACTGTTTAGCACCCATGCAAAAATCCTCGGTTCACTACAAATCTTTAACTATTTTCACATTAAACTTTTGAAAAAAATCCTAATAAACCTTTGGAAACCTTTGAATAAGCTTTTGGTAACATTGGTAAATTGCATGTTGAAGGAAATCTAGTTCCTATTAGTTACTCACTGATTGTATAAAGATAAATTTAACACAAGAAAAGTAAAATTCTATTTTTGCAGTATTCCTAATATTTGTGCATTATTCATAATATTTATTTTTTTCAGCATGATTGTTGTCTTTCTGATGGTACTGATATCTTACTGTCCTGCTTTTCAGGATGTTCCCATGTTGACCCTCAAATGTGGTATCGTGCAATTGAGGGTGAGGACTTTATTCTACAATGTGCTTTACCAGATAGAGATGCTACTCACATGTACAACAACTCACTTCTAAATCAACATGAGGTGAAATGGTTCTGGCATCAAAAAGATGAAGAGCCACTGAAGCCTATCAAGGAAAGCTCTAATCTGTCTCTCCAAGGGGATGCACTTTGGTTTAAACCAGTAAGGGACAATGTTTCTGGTGTGTACATCTGTAGGATACGGTATGTAATGGAGCAAAAGGTTTGTATTTCTCTACAAGAACTACTGCTTTATTTTGGTTTGTGTATTAAACGTTTAACCTTTTATTTTCCTACATCACTCAGGAGAAAAATCCCATGTCTCAGAATTGTTTTGGAGGTTCAAACCAAGATGGAAGCAAAATGTTTAGATTATAACACAAATATGCTCTATCTGCTGGCTGGCAATGGGAATTCAATAACCTGTCCTGGAACCAAGTGTTACAGCCATTTGAAAAAGCCAGATGTAAAATGGTACAAGGTAAGAGGGAAAATCAGTCTTCTGAGCACTTAAAAATCTGAGTGGAAATAGAGTTGTAGGTCTAGTTGATGTTCATGCACCACAGGTTCTTGAACTCTTCTGTGGCAGATAATGCAGCCTGAGGAATTCAACCCAAAAGTGGAATATTGAATTACTGTATATCGTGTTTGTAAGAGAGTTTTGAGGAAATTTGCCACACCCAAACTATTATCCCATGAAACACAAGCCAAGAAACGTTTCCTCTAAGAAAAGAGCAATTGAGAATCAAAATAGCCTCTTTACAAAACTGACATGATTGAAATGTAACATTTAAAGTTTTGCTTTGACATTTTATGTTCTGAAAATGTCAACTATACCAAACAAAAAGTGCTTTGTTAGAAATGAAATTCTTTTCAGATTAATATTTTGAATTGTTCTTTCCTAGATTCCTGTTTTTAATGAAACACTTCTACTGAGACATTATTGACTTAGTGTTTGTAAGGATTGTAATACAACATCTAAGCCTGTACAAATGAGCATATAAAAATGACAAATTTCAACTGCACATTTTACTACCTGGTATTACATTATATTCTATCAAGCAGAATTATGATCTAGTCAAAGTTACTCACAGTTTCAGACTTGAAATGAGGTATATCTTTACCTACATTTTGATCTGAAGTTAAGGAGATTCTTCCCATTTTACATTAGTAGATTTTTTTTCAGGAACTTGATTTAATGGAAATTCTTAGTGTTCCTAGTGAGTATTAATACCCTGAGCTGTAAAACAGGGATGCTCTTCAAGAAACAGTCAGTTTTCATTATTTAAAAACTAGTGGCAATGTTCTCAATCTCAGACAATCCAAACCCATAATTTAGTTCTCATAAAAGAACCTGGAAATGGTTTCAAGATACTTTCTTTACATAACAATTTCTATGTACAAAATAAAAGGATATGCTTTGGTTTTGCCCTACTGCCATGGCAATCCTACCCAAATATCTTGAAATATATTTAATAACAGCAACAGCAACAACAATGAAATCTCTGTTTCCCTGATATATTGATTTTTTTCCACTAGGATGGTCATCAGATAAAACACAGGAAAAGCAGACCAAGCCTAAAGCTTAGGCATAATGAAATCTACTTGAATCCAACCTATGACAAAGATGCTGGAATATATGTGTGTGATTACACTCTGTATGACAACACTACTAAGTGGATAGTGAGAACAGCAGTAACAGTAGAAATTACTAGTGAGTAATAAAACAACTCAGAATAAATTACCTGAAGTATGTTTTCTTTATTATGTCTATTTGTGTCTTTTGTTCAGGCTCTTGTCCTGATAAACCCATAAACTGAATTAGTTACAGGATCATTAAAATCCTCTTTCAAGTATTCTGAGGACAATTTGGGACATTGACTAGTATCTTCAACATTCAGTAATAGCATGTGGCATACAACACCATAATTTTCAAGATCTAATTCTGCCCTGATTTTATTGTAGTTCCTAATATTGGGCATCAAATTTTAGAATATATGATGCTCTTTCACTTTTCTCTCTGGCTAAATTCCCACAATATTTTCCAAGCAGGCACAAGCTAGCTCTGCTTTTATTTTGACCTGGCTGGACCCAAGTTAGTGCACTGTCCTCATTAACTCCATCCCAGCCCAAACCAGCACACCTCAATTCTTTTCCCTCACTTCACTGCACAGTCAGAAAAGCACTTGAAAGGTGTCATATACATACATAGCCTCCAGAACCTTGCAAATAGTGCACTGCTGTGGCTTTGCCAAAAAAACCCCCAAATTGTTATGTGGCCCCATTTCCTGCAGTATGGGACTTTCCTAGAATATCAGAGCTGTGGGTTTCATTGTGCAACCTGTGGGTGTCATTATCTGTGCCCTTTGGCAGCCCAGGTTTTGAAAAACAACAGGGCTATTTTAATGCAAGTACCTGTCCTTGTGAACGAGGTGTGTGTGCTTTGTTTGCACTTTCTGGGCATGAAAAGCAGCCTGGCAGGAAACTGGTATGATGATTGTATCCTTCAGGGGGTTTTGTGGAAGGGTAAGGGGCCTAAATTCTGAATATTAAGACATCTTAAGTGCAGGATAGATGTTGAGCTCCTCAGCTCATGTAAGATGGCAATGCTGAACATGAGCTGGGGGTGTTCAGCCTGGAGAAGAGGAGGCTCAGGGGAGACCTTCTCACCCTCTGCAACTCCCTGACAGGAGGTTGGAGTCAGGTGGGGGTTGGTCTCTTCTCCCAGGCAACCAGCAGCAGGACAAGAGGGCACAGACTCAAGCTCTGCCAGGGGAGGGTTAGGTTGGAGATTAGGAAGAGATTTTTTCCAGAGAGAGTGCTCAGGCATTGGAATGTGCTGCCCAGGGAGGTGGTGGATTCACCATCCCTGGAGGTTTTCAAGCTGAGACTGATGTGGCACTCAGTGCCACGGTCTGGTGATCATGTTAGGGTTGGACTTGATGATCTTTGAGGTCTCTTCCAACCAGGTTGATTCTATGATTCTGATTAGTTACCCTGCCTTTCACACTTCCCTGTTCATGGTGATCTTTTGATGTTGAAGAGGTCATTGTTAGTATGGCAGTAAACTGGAGAACAGAGGGATTTTACATCCCTGGCATTATTAAATGCTTTGTGAATGGTCACTTGGACTTGATGATGTTGGAGGTCTTTTGTTGATTCTATGATTCTGTGAATGTCTCAAAGTAACTGAGATTGTAGGTGTTACATAGCTATGCAAGTTTTGTGGTCGAAACTCCCTTATCTGTGCCCTCTCAGATACCACAACAACTGCAAATCATCCTCTTGGACTTGGATGTCAAAATTCCACCTAACATTTGAACAATTAAATTGTTATTTTCTCTTGTCTTCTGAACTGACATTTGCTTTATACATATTAATAATCTTCCTTTTAATTGCAGCAAAAAACACTATTCACCCCCCAAACATTTTGTATCCCAATGGTGTTGGGATTCTTGAAGCAGAGCTTGGTAAGTTTCAATCTGAAAGAAAGAGAAAGTGCTTAAATGAGACATTGATAAATAATGATAGATCTTGATAAAGCAAATCAGCTTTGCTTTCTAGGCTATTTAAGAAAATGCTATTCTGGTGACTTCCACACATGGTTTTCCTGTGCTAATTTCTTCCAGGAAAGCCACTGGAATTGGAGTGCCGTGTACAGTTTGGGTTTGAAACAGTTTCATCAGTGAGGGTAACATGGAAACGAAACACTGAAGACAATACAAATGAGAAATTGAATTTAGAAACAAGGTGAGAAAAATCCCTCAGTAGTTTGAGCACTACTACAGCTGGCAACTGTAAAATTCCTTCTGTGCCAACTTGACTGAACACATGTTATTGAAAGAAACTCAGAAAGCTGAGTTTCAGCCTGTTAATGTGTATGTCCACGAGCATGTGACAGGCACATGCCCTTCACCTACAGAAGTACATATGGATGGCCATAAAGTTAAGAGCTCAAACTTTCTGCAGAATCTTAACTCTTTTTCCTGAAGCTTTAGCTAATGGACAGCTTCAGCATGAATTGTGCTTGGTTGCCTGTGCCTGCATCAGCTGTTTCCAAGTGTTCTTGTAAACACTGGCTCTGTGCTGCCTTGCTAGTGATTCACACAATCTGTCTTTGGAAGCTGTTTCTGAGTGGGGAATGAATAAACCAGAGCAGCAAAACAGTGCTGTGAACATTGAAAGGATTTTGAGTGTGTTTACAGACTCAGTCTCAGGACTACCAGCACTGAATTTCAGGACACTGAATTTCCCTGGCAAGCATTAAGCAGACCCCACAGAGAAGAAATGTGGGAGAAAGGTTTCCTGTGATTTGGGGACAACCCCTATAATTACCACTCTTCCCTTTCCTGTTCTGCCCTGTGTCATTGACTCAACACAGTTCAACTTAGGTAAGCAACACAGTGGAGACAACACGGGCAAGTGTGTCTCGCTACACAGCCCTGAGTCATCTTTCTGGGTAAACTTCTCTGTCTTAGCAAAAATCAAGTTCATAAGAGGAGTCATATGGGAAAAATAAATGATGATATCACATGCACACACTCAGCTTTGTAACGTTCTTAAAACGTTGTTAGCTTTTTTTTGCATGGGTACAGTTTCTCTTCGTTTTTTTTTTAAAATAAAAACCCAAATAAATAAAACATTCCCAACAGACTTTGCATGGGTACAGTTTCTGTTTGTTTTTTTTAAAAATAAAAACCTAAATAAATAAAACATTCCCAACAGACTTTCAGTGCAGGTTGAATCCTTGCCCATGCTTGTGCCTGTGTATCTTGAGCTAGCAGAGCTAGGGCCATGGGAGACTGTCATTTTGCAGTGGCATTTTGTGAGGTGCATTTAGGATGACCCAGAGACACTTGTACTTGTGGCTTTCTAAAGGGAATGCTGAAACTCAGAAACCCTGGGTATCCTAGTGTGATTACAGACACAGATCTATTACCCACATCCTTCACTCAACCCCCAAGGGATTCCTCTCTTTGTTACCTCTTCATTTCTTATACTTTTGTCCCTTATATCTATTTTATTCTGTTTGCCTACCCTGTGCTTGGCCTTTTTACCCCTGTGCAAGAGGCTGTGATGCTCAGTCTTTTTGTCCAGCTAGTTCTATCTTGGGACTCCTTTTTGAAGTTCTCTGCATTTCTGCTGGGGGAATTTTTACATCTTAGAAAACCACAAATATTCTCATAGAAGTCAAAGGGGCCTATATATTGAGAACTAAGTGGGAAGCATTTTCCTGAGTTGATGAATTAAGATTAAACCTTTGAGTCTCCAGGCCTTTGATGCAAGTATTTTCTTGCAACCTATATACCAAATGGAAGTTCCAAACAAGAATACTGCATCCCTCTTAAAAAACTCAAGATGAAGTTAAGAAGTTGCAAACTCCTCTTTCTTTGTATGTAAGACATTTGGTGATTGTGTGAATGAACAGCAAAAGTATCCTGTAAATGTGCATTTTTTTTCTCTTTAGTGTTTATCCAAAAGGCTTAAAGGGGCACACACTTGTTCATGTTGCAACACTGAAAGAAGTTACTGAAAGGGACCTCAGAAGCAACTTCACATGCTTTGCAGAGAATTCAGTGGGGAATGCCACTGCTGTGATCCAGCTGAAGAGAAAGCAGAAAGGTAAAACTATTGGTAGATGACTATTTGCACCTGAAGACACATTTTGATTTACTCACTGCTACAAATTCATTCCCCATTGACACTGGATTTTTAGCCAGTGTCAGAAGTTTCTTGATGCTGTATGGGAAATGTTTAATGTGTCAGATATCTTGAAAGGCACAGTATTCTGAGGCCTGCTGAGAAGGACAGAGCTGTCTAGGGACTTACTGCAGGCAGGTGAGCCAAGTGGAAGCTGAGAGGAACTGGGAGGAAGAAGAGGAGAGTAGCATCTCTGAACATTAACAGCATTGAGGCAGAGAGGATTCTGAGAGCAACAGTATTCCTGGATATTCACAGGGCATTTCTGTTTGCTTCCCCAGTCATTAGCATGTATGTTTCTGAGAAGTTACCACAACTGATATGAATGTGGCAGCCTTCAAGCCTTTAAAGGCCCAAACCAGAATCAGTGTGGAAATTAAATCCTTGAACCATACTTCACAGTGGAGATTCATCATTGGAGTGGCAGAGGAAGCTGCCAGCAGGACATTGTGTGCAGCTCTGTGTGTTCTGGTGTGACTTTTCCATCTCAGGCCAGTAACTACTTTCAGCTCTGCTGAGTGTACCACAGACGATTTTCTCTGTGTTTTCATCACAGATTGGATTTTCATACCACCAAAGAGATGTCATTCTGAGACTTAAAATTTACAGCTACACGAAACCCTGATTTCCCTAAATTTTGCCATCAGTGTAAGAATGAATTTGTGGGAGGGTTTGTCCTCATTTCTGGACTGAGCTTTTTTATCAAAGTGTCAACAATATTTTGGAAAGCCTGAGTTATGATAGAATCTTCTCTTTCTACAGTGCTGTACTTGTATGTACTGTGCAGTGCCATCTCTACTCTGTTTGCACTTGTTTTGTGCACTACCTTTATTTACCAGCACTGGATTGAAATAGTGCTGATATACCGAAGTTATCTAGTCTGCAACAAGAGTATGGCAGGTAAGAAACATTGTAAAATATTCATTTTCTTCAGTTTTTCTACTGTCTTTTGCCTTGTGGGATAATCTGGTATGAATTACTCTTTTGATTAAATTCTCTCTATGACCCTGTTCTCTTTGAGCCAATACAAGGTCTGTTAAACCTGGCAAGATGCTCAGTGAATGCAGATGGAAAAAAAACCCAAAACAAACAGGTAGTGTGGAGAAAATATCTAACACCAACTGAAAAGCCACAGTTAGCCTTTTATCCTAATTTACCCATAGAAGATTAGAGTAGGAAGTTGCATTTTGGCAGTGCTTTTGCAAGGAATAATTTAGCATCTCCAACATTTTGACCTCACTCGCCCAAAGTGTTCAACAGAACATGTGGACAAGAACCAAATGTCCTTGTGTAACAAAGAGAAAGACTTCACAGTCTATTGTATTTTTCACTAGAAGACAAAAAATTTCTCAGAAGAATTAACAAAGGAGAGAAATAAGATGATAGAGTGCACCAACTGAGAATGTGTGTTTGGGAAATATTCATATTTCTTTTCTAAATATTTTGGCAACAATCTTGATCAGCTTCTGATATTTCAAGCCTATTTCTTTTCTAAATATTTTGGCAATGATCTTGATCAGCTTCTGATATTTCAAGCCTCTGTAGCAGCATTGCCACATCACCTCAGCCAAAACAGGTCTCCAAATTAGCAGGCAGTGTAAAGATGTATCAGAAATCACTGTGACTACTTCAGAGAACTTAACACATAATTTTCTCACATGAGCTGGAAGAATTCTCATAGCATTTACCCAAGGAATTTTTTTTTAATTACTGAATCTTGACACAGTTTGAGATACAGGTGCCTATGTCTGTGTTTGTGTTTGCACGTGTTTATGTAGCTTATATGTGAGTGTGAAATAACTGCACCTAGATACCTATAAATACATATGCAATGAGACAACTGCCCTTTTGGAAAACATTTTTGTGAGCCCTAAGGCAGGTGGAGAAAGCAATTTGGGAAATCACTCAAAAATTCCCTTTTCTTTGGTAAGAAATTGATTTAAGAACCTCTGGAAAGTCCCCTTAGAGCTCACCTCATGTGTCAGTAGGACAGAGACAGAACAGCCAGGATTTGTGCATTGAAGTTGAAGAAGGTGTTGTGTTCCACTGACTCTCATCACCTCATGCACACAGCACCATTTGCAGTGTGGGGGCACTGGATGTGCAGACCAACCATGACTACTCAGAGAGTTTTCTGCCTAAGGATAAATGTGTTCCCACTTGTAGGATTGTGTCCCTCCCATTTCATGTGGATGCATATCAAGTCACCTGAGGTCTGAAAAGATTTGCTCATAGAGCAGCAAAGCAGCAGTTGTGATTTTGCTTCTCCCTTTCCATCATTTCTTCTCTCCCATCCCTCTTAGCACAGAATCAGAGAATAGTGGAATCCTACAAGGTTGGAAAGGACCCATAGGAGTCATTTGATCCCAGACCCTGTTCAAAGCAGAGCCAGCCTAGACCAATGTTATTCAGGACTTTGTGGACAAACCACAACATCTCCGAAGAACATGCTCCAGTGTTTGACCATGCTCCAGTGTTTGAGCACTTGGCCAGCCTAGACCAGGTTGTTCAGGACTTTGTGGACAAACCACAACATCTCCGAAGAACATGCTCCAGTGTTTGACCATGCTCCAGTGTTTGAGCACTTGGCCAGCCTAGACCAGGTTGTTCAGGACTTTGTGGACAAACCACAACATCTCTGAAGAACATGCTCCAGTGTTTGACCACCCTCACACGACAAACTTTTTCACTATCATCTAATGAGAATTTCCCTTGTTGCAACTCGTGTCTGTTGCCTTCTCTCCTATTACTGTCTCCATCACCTTTGTACCCTCCCATTTGGCAGCTGAAGGCAGCAGCAAGGCCCTATTTTTTCTCATGCCTCTCTGACCCTTGGGGTTCCTCCTTAGCCAATTAAGATATACCTCTCAAAAAAACTGCCTTCTTCCACAACGATTACGAAATACTGCAGAAGTTTGATACTAACATTTATATACTACATATGCAGTTAATTTACCTCATGTATTCTTCATTTCCTACCCTTTAACCATCTTAAATGTTTGTGCTGGAAGTTCCTTAGCTTGTAGCTGTCCTTCTGTACCATTCTGGGGGAAAAAAAGTCCTAGTCATGCTTACCATGTATTTGCTTTTGACTTGCTATTGCAATAGTAACATTCATAAAGGAATATGTTTATTAATGGTTGTTGTCTAATAAGATTGCAGCGACCTCTGTGGGTGGGATGAAGAATACCTAGTTTGTAGTGCAATCTCTTGTCATTTTAAAACCGTTTTCAAAGGAGCTTCAATTTTTGGGTATAGCTGAATTTTGGGTCCAGCTAAACCAATCTTCTGCCCCTCCCTTCAATTCCCACACTAGTCCCGTGTGCCTGCTGCTGGTGATTCACCATTGTGGGCCTAAATTGGCTCAGCTTGGCAGAAAAATAACTCAGTAAAAGATGGTGAGTAGCCAGCAAAGTGAATCAGCTTCCTCTGTTGCCACAAGAGCTTCAACACCAGTAGAAGGAAGTGGTGAAAGCTTGTGGCCAAGAGCAGAGAGGAACAACAGAGGTGCAACGTGCTGTCTGATCACAGCCTTGGCCTCCAAACCTAACATGCACACCAATGTTTTGTTTTGGTGGCATACTTTCTGCTACGTGTGCTTTGGAATGTAGGTGTTCAACCCCAGCTCATCCATGTTGTTACTTTCTGTGTGTTTCCTTTCCATATGGGCTTTCCTAGACCCTGTGGGCACTTGATATATCTAGCTCACATTTGTGATCCTAGTCTTACATCTAGGGATAGCAGTCAGGAGATTAACACCAAGGCATGTGGATCATGATACTCAACACCATTACTGGACAACAGTGTCTCAGTTCCTATGCAGTGAAGATGCAGTCAACATGGTGAAATCTAGAGAGCTTCCCAGCTCACCCTGCAGCAGCATCCTGCAGTGGGACTCTGCTCTAAACAGTTTTGTTCTGGTTTCTATTAAATGTATTGACATGTGATGCAACTCAGCTGGTTGAACATAGGAGACTGATGTAATTTAGGTTGCCTGAGGATGTCCTGCTATTCCAAAACCTTTGAGTCTCCAGCAGTTCTCCTGTCAAATTTGGCAGTTCTATCAACCTTTGGACACTTTGAATGGCCTCAAGAAACTACTGAGTCCACTGTGCCTTTTGCTCTCACCAGAAATTCGTTTTTCCTCCCTCAAGTGTGGTTCAAATTTTATTCAGCAAATAGATAAGCTTTGCTTTTGCCTTGTAGCTAAGAATGGGCCTAACTCAGGATATTGGTATGAGGCTGATTGAAAGCTAAGAAAAGTTCTTCATAAATTTTTTTGTCTGCACCTTACAAATATTCTTTTAATGAGACTGAAACAAAGTTCAGTAACTGGTCAGTACTTGGTGTCTGAGCTGATACTTTGATCAGACTTAGGCTTTGCTCCTTACACAAGTCTCTGATTAGAAACATAGCAGTGCATGAAAATTGCACAACTTTTGCAAGCAGCTAATCTTTGAGAACACTTCCTAACTATAGTTTAAAAGAAGGTTAGGCATTGATGAGAATTTATGGAATCAGCATTTGGGCAAATGAGAGAAAAGACTGGAAATCTCTCCCTACCACATGGATTTTGCCTGGAAGGGGCCAGATCAAAAACTGGATCATAATTTGTGAAAATCCAGAAAATTGCCTGATTTCAACTTACTTGCACTAGCCTTCTGTAGCTTTCTCACTTGTGTTGGTAGCACATGGCTTCAAAATTTGCAAGACAGTGAAGAGCAAGTGTTGGCTTTGATAACTGGATAGTTGTACTTCATGAACAAGTAATAATTTTAGGCTTGTGTTGTGCCTGCTTCAATAGGTATAAGAAGAAACTGAACATTAAGAAAGAAGCTGAAATCTTCAGCCAGACTTGTTAATTAAGAGAAGAATACAATGTTATTTATTTATTTATTCATTTTAGATGGCAAAGAATTTGATGCATTTGTGTCCTACGCAAAACTAGACTCCTCTGAAAGCGACTCTACTTTAATTAGTGAGGAAAAATTTGCCCTGGAGCTTCTTCCAGATATGCTGGAAAATAAATATGGATACAGGTTATGCATTCTTGAAAGAGATATTCTTCCAGGAGGAGGTAAGGTCCCTGTGGATGGTAGAAAATCTACAGTTTTTATAGAATTGGTTTTTACTTTCCAAAAATGCCTATGCAACAGATCAACAAGTTGTATATTTTGGTAGTGGAGTTTATGCTCAAATCTCATCATGTTTTGATCTTTATATCTGGCCTCTGCACCTGAGGTATACATGCAATTGAGTGTGGTCACAAAGCTTTATGTCCCAAAATTTCTTTGCTAGAAGACTCCATTCCGTGAAAAGAAGACCCCCAGATATTTCAGTAGTTACTTTCTGAGCAACTTTAGTCAGTAGTACCTGGAGAAATTAGAAAGCCCTCAGTACCTGTGCCTGAGAGAGACAAAGACAAGTCCAAATACCCTTTTCAGACCCTGTTTGAGTAGCAACAAATCATGTTGAGGAAGAGTTACCTGGTATCTCAGTATTCCTACTCTTGGTTTTCATTGTTTCTGGGTTTTAACTGTTGATAAAGGAACTAACAAGATAAAAAGTCCATTGTAGAATGCAGTAACTATCATCATTGCCTCTCCAGCATACACAGATGAAGTTGTAACAGCTATTAAACAAAGCAGACGAGTAATAATTATTTTGAGCCCAGCCTATATCAATGGACCAAGCATCTTTGAACTGCAGGCAGCAGTGAACTGTGCTTTAGAAGATAAAAGCATCAAGCTGGTACTGATAAAGTTCCAGGCTTTTCAAGAGCCAGAGATTTTGCCTCCAGTAGTGAAAAAAGCTCTTCGTATTTTACCAGTTGTTACCTGGAAGTCTTCTGTTTCTGCTGCTCCAGACAAGAAGTTCTGGAAATATATGCATTACCACATGCCAGTGAAAACTACTAAGATGCTGGGAAACTGCAGCCTAAAGGGATTATTCCAAAGGTTATTCAGACTGGTATATTGATAACAGGCTCAGGAATGGTGATGTGATGGTCAAAGAGCTTTTCTGCATCATCTAACCACTATAAACTGTCACTGCAGTCAGCAATAGCCTGTTCCAAAACAGTAAGTTCTGCAGTGTGAGAGTGCTGTGGCCTCACAGTAAAACTGTGGCACTTAGTAAATGTGAGCTCTCTTTCAGAAAAGATTATTTTATTACTATTTTAATGATATTTATTCTACTCTTTTCATCTGATGTTAAGACACACGATGTTCTTTGCACTGTATTTCTTCTAGAATAGTTTTATACATGTTTTCTAGAAAAAGATTAAAGAAGGGAACTCCAGAGGAATCTTGCAGTTTAATTTTTCCATGCAGGCCAGTGGGACAAACCCAAACTCTTTAGATGAATTATCTCTTCCTCTGGGAGCATCAAGAAAATACCACGGGACGCTGCTGGATATGCCTCAGGGATTCAGAAAAGAAGGACCACTGTGTGAGGGCTGATCCCAGGCATCTCCAAACTTCCCTCAATAAAAGAAAACATTCCAACCAGCTGTGAAACATTTCACACTGTGAGACACCTGAACATTGCTGATCCTGGTTGGTGCTGGTCTCTCCTGGGTCCCACCGAACCCGTTGGCATTATGGGTGTGTTGCAGTTGCAAATCAAAGCTCTGGTTATCACAATTAGTAGAATTCCAGTGAACCCGTTGGCATTATGGGTGTCTTGCAGTTGCAAATCAAAGCCCTGGTTATCACAATTAGTAGAATTCCAGGGACTCTGAAGTCTTTCCCTTGCAGTCCTCTGGCTGCCAACTCTCCAGGGTTCCTGTTGCTTACTCTTAAGGCATCTTGCAGTCTGTGTGTGTATGGCTGTAGCTAAGTGAATGGTTAGTGTTATGGGAACTGTTGAACTGTTTAACAGTAACAACAAAAAATGGTTAGTGTTAAGAAAATCTGAGTAGTACAGCCACTGATCTGCTGTTCTACTGACTTCATAGGGCCTTCAAGTTAGCAAATCCTTGTTTTAGAATGCTAATTGAATAGCTCATCTGCCAGATTCCTTGTTGGAAAGGGACTTCAAGAAATACTGCTATTAAGAGGACCACTATACTGAAAAAAGAACAGCTCTTCTGCAAGTAGGCTGAGCATGGTCTACCTAATTTTGTATTGAGTTCAAAGACTTCAGTGGAAGGACTTGTGGTGCTGTGGGACAGAAGAAGAAGATAGGTAGAAGTAGAGCATCAAAGGGCAACACTGGCTGTACCACAGAAAAATTTGACACTGTAGTTGTACCTTCATTGGGGATTTAGTTCAGATCATTATTATCTTGTGAAGCAAATTTCCCAGTTGTCACTATTTGTTGCCTTGTGCTCTGCATTGCAGAGCATTACAGGTGCACACACTGGATCTTTTTCCATGGAAAGTCAAGTGGAAGATATTCCCATGAAAGGACAGTTGGCCTAAAGGAATCCCCTCCCAAACACATGCAGTGTGGATGCAGTGTCCTCAGAACTACTTGTTTTGGGGTACATCTCTGTTCTCACTATCCAAACTGTTTTCTAACACAAAAAAATCATTGGTGAATTTGAATAATTTGTTCAGTAAAGAACTGTTTTCTAACACAACAAAATCATGGGTGAATTTGAATAATTTGTTCAGTAAATGAAATGTACTCACTTCTGATGTAGGCAATACAGACCTTAGAAGCTTCTAATCAACAGCACTATGTTTGCACAGTTGCTATCCTAACATCAAACAGTGGTTTTCGTGGAGGAGAGAAGAGCAGAGAAGAATTTCAAAATTGTTCTGTCAGGGCAAATGTTGTGTTGGAGGAAGATAACGTGGCTGCCCAGTAAGTGCTTTGCTGGTCTGAGTAAAACAAACACCAAATACCAGGCACTTTGGATGTGCCTCCTCTTTCTGTTGATACGATGTGCTGAGTTCCATACACGAGTTTAGGCGAGAGAAGCATTTCCAAAAGAGGACTCAATTTCTGTGGTTTCCCCACCAGATGTCCCTGCCACGAGTCCTGCACAGTCCCTTTATTGACACACCGAGTGGTTTTGTTACCAGGCTCGACAGGAGCAGGGAGCAGTGCCAAGTGTGGTGCCTGGGGAGTCAGAGGCGGAGCGAGGGCAGGAGAGGAAGGCACGAAGAAGGTTGTCCTGCCTGCCCAGGCTGCTCCCATCTCTCCCACCTGGTGCTATTCCCTTGTGCTCTGCTTGTTGCCTGAACTGTGAGCATTGCAGCTCTTTATTCATTTATTTATTTATTTTTTTTTTTTTTTTTTTTTTTAAAATTTGCTTTCTTTAACACTGGGGGGAAAAAATCAGAGTGGCTGGATAAATAATGTGATTGGAAAGGGGTTTTTATTCCTCAATAGAGTGATGCTGTGGTTTATCTGGGTCAGAGGAACCTGCAGAACCGGTATCTTCACACAACCTCCAGGTCTGCCTGTAACTTAAGGAATGGGACAGGCACATTAGTGCTTTTAGAATGACCTCTAGCAGGCAAATGAAACAGCCCTGAGGAAGAAGTGGCTGTGGCTATGAGCGGCGTGAATCATAGAATCAACAGAAGTGAGTGGTGCATACCTTCATGTACCCACTTCATGTTATATCTGTAATAAAATAGCCACAGCCCCAGACATGGGCTCTGCTGCACTTGCACATGCAAAGCTTTTGAACTGGTTACTGTCACTGCTGCTTCTGTTCTCCTGTTCTACTGCTGCTTCGGTGGCTGAGCCCAAACTGGGCAAGAGCATCTTGCCTCACGATGAACCTGATCCTGGAGGTGCTGGTGACTCTTCACAAGATACGAGGCTACATGTTTTCACAGTGGACTATGATTATGTGCAAATTCCCTATGAAGTTACTCTTTGGATCCTCCTTGCCTCTCTTGCAAAAATAGGTAAGTCGAAAATGGTATCTTTGGTCCTCCTACCTTGGCAAGAAGTTAAAATATTACCATGTAACCAAGTACCTTCCATGTGTTTTTGTAGCTGGGGTTGATTTTACAGTTTCTGTCCTCAAAAGAACAGGGGTGTGTTACCACCAGTGACAAAATTCCACTTCTGAATGCTTCCAGCTTAAGTAAACATATGACCTATAACCCTCACATCTCTTGGGTTGTCTGTCCTCTTGAGTACAACACAGCTCCCCTATAGAGTCTTGTTCATCCCTTTTTCTAGTCTCTGTACACCACAAGATACCAGAATTTGCAACCTGACACAGCTGTAGAAATCAGTTACATCAGACTGAGGCTTCAAGCACATTGATTTTGGGGGAGAAAAGTGGAAAGGATTCTTCCATTGTGTGAATAATAGGAAACATTTCCCTCTGAGCCTTCGTTTTACATGTTTGCTCTTTCAAGTTGCTCAGAAAGTAATACCAGAGCAGAGAGACTGAGAGTCTCTGAGGGTGTAGGTCATCAGAGATGTAGGGTAAGTGCCTTATGAATAAATATTAATAGCCTCTCTGGAGGTCCATGTGGGTATCTGAATGAAGAAAGACAACTCATGGAGCAGGAGGGACTTCAATTAGCTTAGCAAAAATGGCTCACCACGTCTTACATATTTTCATGGCTGGACTCAAATTATTTTGACCGTTCAGAATTCATGCAACAATGTCAAATAAATGAAGATGATGGTAATAATATGAAGACCTGCACACATGTAATCTCCTTTTTCTTTTGATCTTTCCAGGAGATTTTCAAACATTGCAATAGAACAGTCTGGTAGGCTGCACTGATGTATTTCTGAAGGTGGCCTGAAGATAAACATTTTTCATGTCATAGTCACCCAGCTGACAAAAATCATTACCACTGACCATGATTTTCCAGTTTCATTATATCTGATGATCTTAATCCAATACCTATAAAGAAAAGTCTTCACTGCTAGCATAATAATCAAAATTTTCACAAATAAAATTTGTTGTTATGGCATCAGCAGAATGTGTTAGCAGTAAGCATATTGTAACTTGTTTATTTGTCATCCATAAAAGCACAGGACTTGCCATATGGCACATCTACTCATTATTCTTGTTTCGAGGAAGAAACAGAGACTTTAGAAAAACTCTGTCATGTCTCCCAAGTGGCTCTCTTCCCTTTACTGGGAGTGTTCAAATAATATTATTTTTTATGAAAGGTGTGAAGCTGTTTACTTCAAATGTGCTTGGGAGAGAGAGTCAGTCTGAATAATGATAGAATCATAGAACTTTAGAGGTTGGAATAGACCTTAGTGATCATCTAGTCCCAAAACCCCCTGCCATGGGCAGGGACACCTCCCACCAGAGCAGGTTGCTCAAGGCTTCATCCAATCTGGCTGTGAACACTGCCAGGGTTGGGGCAGCCACAGCCTCCCTGGGCAACCTGGGACAGTGTCTCACCATCCTCACAATCTGGTTCCCTAGAGAAGATTTCCAAAGTATTAAACATTTTCAGTGTTTTATTCTGGTATTATCTTCTTTCTGGATTTCAAGATTTCAGGCTGGGAAACACTTCTGAGATCCTGAAAGGCAAAACAATCTCATTCTTCTGTAAAACTGACAGAAGACTTGAACATGATCTTTTTTTTTAATTAAAAAGGAGGTGTTATTATCTCCTAGTAGAGATAATAGAGATCACCCAGCAAAGTCATGATTTGAATATACTTTTTGGCAAAACAAAAAACCTACAATAATGTCCTAAATAAATTGTCCAAAAATTCATAAAAATACTTTTCTGTTCTTTTACTTTTGAAGATTGATAATTAAAAGGTCACAGAAATACAGTCATGGCATTATCTTCTAGAGTTACAAGGTGAAGGCTGACCTACCTTCAGGCATGATGGCACATTGGATTTAAAGGTTTTTTAGTAGGTCTCATTCTTGTAAATTCTGAAAAAAATCCTTACATTTCTAGTAGAGGCAACTTTCATTCATAACATGATTACACAGTTCCTGGCACAGTGACTAGATGAGCCAATGGCAGTTGGGCAGTAAGGATTCTTGAAGAATATTTTCTTTCCAAATTGTGGAGGATCTTTTCAAAGAGATCTCTGTGTTCCCAGAAGTGGAGCTTAGGCTCAGACATGCTTGCTCAGAAATCAAGAGCTGTGAAGCAGGAGGAGAAGAGGTTCATGGCCAAACTCTTGCCCTGCTTTAGGGATACAAGGCTGGGACTTGTTTTGAAGGGAACAGTAATGCCTGTTTTTATATTCATAATCCTAAGAGCAAAAGTTGACTGACTGAAGACCAACTATTCAAACACAAGCAAAACATCTGTCTGATATCAGGTTACTTTAAACATCAGGTTAATTTAACTTCAAATAATACCCTAATGTTTTATTCAAGGTTTCCATATCTATCACCGATTACCAAGAATTATGCCTGAAAGCTGCATCCTGATTGCTATTGGAGCCCTAGTAGGAGCAATCATCTTTGCCTCCCATCACAAATCTCCACCAGTGATGAACACAAGCATTTACTTCTTGTATCTCCTTCCACCCATCATCCTGGAGGAGGGTTATTTCATGCCAACTCGCCCGTTTTTTGAAAACATTGGGTCCATTCTGTGGTGGTCTGTCCTGGGAGCTTTGCTAAACTCTTTTGGGATTGGCCTCTCTCTCTATGGAATCTGCCAGATCAAAGCCTTCGGCCTGACCGACCTGAACCTGCTGCAGAACCTGCTGTTTGGCAGTATGATTTCAGCAGTGGATCCTGTGGCAGCTCTGGTAGTTTTTGAAGAAGCCTCTGTTAATGAGCAGCTTTACATGATGATCTTTGGAGAGTCATTGCTAAACGATGGCATAACTGTGGTGAGTTTCTTTCCATTCCTGGTATTTCCCTCTTTGAACTCCTGTGGTTTGTATGGCTATTGGGCACAGAGCAAGAACAGGTCTAAGGAGATCCTAGATACATATTTTATTTTCTAACCATAAAAAAATGTGCTTAATTGTACACAAATGATTTTAATGTATGTAAAAATGACATATTAAGTCTTTCAAAAGCATGTTTTTAGTGCTGCTGGAAGAGCACACATGAGACCACATTTTGCTCTTGCATTCACTGAAATGGAGAAGAGAAGGTTATGTGGAGTCCTCATGGCATCTTCCAGGAGCTGAAGGGGCTCCAGGGAAGCTGAAGAGGGACTCTGTGTTAGGAGCTGCAGGGACAGGATAAGGGACAATGGGTACAAATTGAAAGAGGGGAAATTTAGGCTGGATGTGAGAAAAAAGATTTTTCCTGTGAGGGTGGTGAGACACTGTCCCAGGTTGCCCAGGGAGGCTGTGGCTGCCCCAACCCTGGCAGTGTTCACAGCCAGGTTGGATGAGCCTTGAGCAACCTGCTCTGGTGGGAGGTGTCCCTGCCCAGGGCAGGGAGGGTTGGGAATGGATGATCTCTAAGGTCTATTCCAATACCTAAAATTCTATGATTCTATGAATGGATAAGCTACGGTTGATTTTCTTGGAGGCATCAATGTAAGACCTAGGAATGTTCTTAATATTATGCAAATGAATACACATAAAATCACACTGCTTAAAGACTGAAGGCAGCAGGGGTAGAAATACAGAAGACCCTGCCTTGTCATATGCCTGAGAGAACCCTCTGGGGAAAAAAAAAGCAAGCCAGATGTGGAAAACCTCTGGAGGCCACACTCCTTACTCCAGCCCCTTCTAGGAATTTCCCCAGAGACCTTACAGAGGAATTCCAAATGCCACTAATAACTGCATGTAACTCTGTTTCTATCAGTAAAAGAATTGACATCTGACAAATGTGCACCTGTTTTTTTTTGGCTGTCTTATCTCAAGTATCCAGAAACAATGCTTCCTGAATAAGAGAGGTGTTATTTGTTTGCTTATTTTGTTGCTGTTTTTTCTTTTTAACAGGAAAAAAGTGTTCTTGCAGAGCTCCTTTCAGTAACATTTTCCCCTTATCTCATTAGTTCTGCTAAAATTTGGAGCAGCCTGAAATTCTAGCTGTAAAGCAGCAGTGGCAAGAACACCTAGAACACATTTCTCAAGGAAGAAATTTGAAGCAGGAAGTTTATTGCTCAGAAACCAACTTGCTCATGTGCTGCAAGTTAACAGTGGGTTAAGGAGTTTCGCTAGATAAGATCTTTACAGAATTTGAATCACAGGAATCTAGAACACATAAAAACTATTCAGACACTGCTTTACATGAGGTCCAGCACAACTTGGACTTGGAAAACCTGTACAGAGTTCACTGCTGAAAGGCTTCATGGGAGAAGTGCAGTTCATGGGTAATAAGAAAAGGAACAAAGCAATTTCTTGCAGCCACAGCCTATTGATTACAAATCTTTCTATTTGGTGAATCAGAGGTGTAGGGCAGATCCAGAATTAAGGGATAAATGTTCCTTATGCAGACTGGGGGCATTTGAGTTTTCAAGATCTCTTCCTGGCTTCATGCTTGAGAAGACTGAAGTATTTGTCACCTGGATGGAGTCCAATAGGTGGCTTTCTCCTCTCTGATATCCCACTTGCTTTTTTCAAGGCTTTAAAACTGTTTTATCACAGGTGTCTTATCTTACCATTTCCTTCTCTTTCTCTCTGTACAGTTTCAATTGAATTAACTCTATGTGTTTAAAAAAGATAATATCACTGAGATATATTAAGCACACATATATTTTGATTGTTTAAATACAAATATCCCCTGGTTCTCTCTATTCTTCTTATCAGCTTGAACATTTTCTTCCCCAGCAGGAAAAACGGGTATGAATTTTGTTGACCTGGTGTGTTACATTTGAGGCAACAACAGCTCTGTCTCCTATATTTAGTTTGATAACCTGGTATAAAAAACCCTCACAAAATAACAGACTGATAAATTAGAAATATGATCTAGGAGTTATGCCATTGAGTTAGGGGGCTGGGAGAAAAGTGGATAACTTTTCCTTTCTACCCATTGGTACTTTTATCATATTTTCCTCAGTAAGGCCATGGCTGTGGATGGAACCAAAAGGCTTCAGATTCTGTTAATTGCTTCTTTCCCCAGTTGTTTCTGAGTGGACTGTTAGCATCAGAATAGCTCAGACAGTAACCAGACTGGTCCTAGCATGTATCATACATTAGTTGGGTTTCAAAGACCAGTTTGAAACAGTGATATAGGTAAATCCAGTGCAGATCTTATTGAAGCCTAAACACTGGTGGAGTACCCTGATTTTGCTGCAAAGCATTTCAGGCACCTGAAACTCTGCTCCCACTTATGTACAGATCATTTCTTTCTCAACAGGACCTGAGCACTTGTATGCAGCAGGAAATGGAATCTTCCCTGACTGCTTCATCTCTGAGGCTTGATTTTAGAAAGACTGAGAGCACCTATACATCATGCTGTACTCAAAATGAGGTGGCAGTGACTATATTTTCTAATGACACCCTCTCATCTTTGTATGCAGCAGAACAGTTACGTTCAATACATGTAGAAGACCCAATCAAAATAATTTTTTTATTTGAAGGGACTTGAATTTTCCTATCTAGTGTTGCTGGGGAAATCTTTGACCACTGGGTGGTCATATATGGGTGTTAGGGAGGAGGATGGAGATATTCTCTGCTCTGGCTGTAACAGTTGATCACTGTGCTTAAAGTAAAGCTAACTACAGTGGATGGAAAGAATTATTAGAGTGAAAGTTATCAAGAAAGAGTTATCAAGACTGCCTGTGTTGGTGGTCAAGATGGTCACTTGAAAATCTTTTTTTCCAATGCTTCTGATGTGGATGGTGTGTGCAATTACTGTATATAGAGCAGGAGCATGGAGCAGTCCCTGGGGAGTCCCTGGGGAGTTCCTTGTGGATGACAGTGTCACTCTCTCTTCGTCTCCCTGGCTCTAAGAGCCACCCAGTGGTACACCACTACATGGTGATGTCCTCTCCAAAAAACCCAAAAGCATGACATTCTCAGAGTTACTAAAGGAGACCAACTATCCATCCCTTCTTTTTGTGTGAACAAAAGCATCCTAAAGCTGATTGAGGCTTTCCTACCATGTAAAGAATGATAATACTCCATTTATGGCCAGAAACACTGTGATGTAACTTAGGCAAGCAGCACTGTCATATTTCCATAATTTCCATGTCATATTTCCATAATTTCCATTTTAATGTTGACTCAGTTATATAGACAGTTTAGGATCTAGAAAAGGGAGAAAAAAAACTTGCTAAGTCATTCGCTGAGGATATCTTGCTTTATTCTTAGTCAACAGAAATTCATGCCCTGGTATCATTTATAAAGAATCACACATTTTAGGAAGAGATTAAAGTCAGGAAGAAAGGGAGAGCAGAGAGAAAACAGGCTCAGTAATTAAAAGCTGTATGGTATTTTGATAAGGTTTGCTGTCTGTGGAGACATGAACCCTCTTTGCCTTATCTGCCACTGCAGAGCCAAATTTCATACATTGGCATCAGGAAAAAGCAATTCTGGATATTTTCTCACATGAAACATTTTGTTTTTCTTTGTCTGTGCCCCCAAAATATTACCAGTGAGTCTCCTGGAGAACAGACTTTGTGACAGCTCAAGGTCATATGTCCCCAACAGCAATTTAAGATTAGATAGTCGCTGGGGAGTAATTATTAATTATCCTAACGAACTTGACTCTTCTACCTGCAAATGCCTGCTTTAATCTATTAATAACTTTCCAGAATTAAAGATATGAAGAAGAAAAACCAAAGAAAACCATAAAATGCAAATGATTTTGGTATATTTTGAGGTTTTGAAGTAATATTTTGGTGCAGCAGCTTTGGAGAGCTGGTGTCTCTAGTTGTTTCCCAAATTCTCTTTATATGTTGCACACTCACTGTAAACAGATCTGAGAGGACTCAATATTCAGCGATTGTCAGCAACCACTAAGACCTTTTTATTACTACACATCTCATTACCCTGGAAACTTTCTGTTAGTTTCTAAAAGATGGATGAAAATAGAATATGCTGAAAATTTTTCATCATCAATTTCTGCAGCAAAGAAATTGTTTATAATAGAAGTATGGCAAAGTGTTCTGCTCTAAATTAAAGAAATTGTCTTTTCAGATCAAATTATGTTTGTAGTCGAGGCAATCTTTCTCCTAATCTGACATAGTTTTCCTTTAATTTTTGTCATTTCAAGCTCTCTAGTCAAAATATGTATGTGTGAAGAGTCTTTAGGCCATGTAGAATGCCATGGGTTTTGGTCCTCAGTTTGAGATTGTTCATCTCAAGGGATGAACAGGGAGGAGGGAAGGGAAGGAGGTTATGTGGCATCAAATGTAAAACATTGTCAGGATAGAGAGGCTTTATTTATCTAGCTAGATACAATATGAAACTGAGACGACCATTTCCCTTCCCTTCCCTTCCCTTCCCTTCCCTTCCCTTCCCTTCCCTTCCCTTCCCTTCCCTTCCCTTCCCTTCCCTTCCCTTCCCTTCCCTTCCCTTCCCTTCCCTTCCCTTCCCTTCCCTTCCCTTCCCTTCCCTTCCCTTCCCTTCCCTTCCCTTCCCTTCCCTTCCCTTCCCTTCCCTTCCCTTCCCTTCCCTTCCCTTCCCTTCCCTTCCCTTCCCTTCCCTTCCCTTCCCTTCCCTTCCCTTCCCTTCCCTTCCCTTCCCTTCCCTTCCCTTCCCTTCCCTTCCCTTCCCTTCCCTTCCCTTCCCTTCCCTTCCCTTCCCTTCCCTTCCCTTCCCTTCCCTTCCCTTCCCTTCCCTTCCCTTCCCTTCCCTTTCCCTTCCCCTTCCCTTCCCCTTCCCTTCCCCTTCCCTTTCCCTTCCCTTTCTCTTCCCTTTCCCTTCCCTTTCCCTTCCCTTTCTCTTCCCTTTCCCTTCCCTCTCCTACTTGCTTTTCCATTCCCAGTGATGTTTCATTATTTTTATGTGTCAAGTATTATGGAAAAACATTTAACATTCCAGAGTCCATCTAATGAAGTTGTCCAGTCTACTGATCATACAGACACCCTAAATGGGATTTAAATAAAATGTGTAATATTTTAGTCATGGCATGGCCCCATCCTGAGTCAGAAAGAGAGGGTGGAGGGTAGAGCCTGAGGTTTTTAAGGTACTTATCTGGGCTTTTGACCTCTGCTACAAAGACCAATGATTAAATTCACCTTCAGAAAACAAAACGAGTATTTTTTTGATTACTTCCATGACATTCCATTCCCCAGTGTTTTGCTTCTATTACACAGCCATCTACTCTTCCATTTTTCAGCTGTTTTTTCAGGACACTTAACAGATCCTTAATTGTGGGACTTGTTAAGAACTTGTTACAAACCAGCTGAGATTTCAATTGTTACTTCCTTGATCTGACTGAAGCAATTTCAGGCACACACACTCACCCATGAAACGAGTGAGCCTGCCAGGTTCAGGAAGATGCCTGACTGCTGTCTCCTTACTCTCACATGTAGGTTCTCTATAACATCTTCATCGCCTTCACCCAGATGCACAGGTATGAAGAAATCGAATCCATCGATGTCTTTGCTGGCTTTGCTCGTTTCTTCGTGGTGGGGCTTGGTGGAGTGTTTTTTGGCATCGTCTTTGGATTTGTTTCAGCATTGATGACTCGATTCACTCACAACGTCTCTGCTATTGAACCCCTGCTGGTCTTCATGTTCAGCTACCTGTCCTACTTGTCTGCTGAAAGCCTTTACATCTCTGGCATTTTGGCGTGAGTATTGCTGGATGGGTTTGGAGATGAGGTCTTGAAAGGAGTAGCATTGTTTTGTGCAGGTGGTTTGCTCAAGGTTGGTGCAACACAGGCATTCAGTCTCTGGCTTGGAGACTGCAGTGGAATGCTGCTAAGAGATCAGAGATCTAGAGATGCAGTGGCAACCAGGAAAAGCAAACCCACAGTCAGTGTAGGCACACGTGCTGCTGAAGAGTGTTAGACAAAGTACTGTAAGTTGTGGGTGAAGTATCCAGTGCTGCCACCATCTGTCTGCTACTTCTGATAAGATCAGCAGAAGGAGAATGATTGGATCAGTTTCTCTGTATTTATTTCTAAGCAGCATCACCATCAGATTACAAGTGAGGCAAAAAGCAATGAGTGTGGAACACATCATAAAGAACATCTGAGTTTTTGCTTTTGTGTACAGCTGTGAACTTCAGCTCTAACACAATTTACTGGATTTACATTACATTTGAACAGCATCACTGGGGTTGAAACTGGGCAAAACCAGACAACTGAGAGCATAAAGTACACATGCATATGTACATTCTTGTGTATGAATACTTACAGTCATATTTTGACATGGTCAGGATAACTTGATACTATACATAGGAGTGGAAGTAAAAGACTTTAGGAGAAAACTTCAGGCAGGTGACTTTCAAGGCTACCACACCAAACAGCCTCTCAGAAGGGTAAAGCACAAAGAAATGGGAACCTGGTGGTGTTAAATACTCCAGTTGGTGCTGTTGGCTGCTGCAGGCTCAGTGCCCAGCTGGTGGGTGTCAGTAGCCTTGCGTGGCCTGTGCTGCCTCTGAGCTTTCATGACAGGTCTTGGAGGACCTGGTATTCCAGAAAGGACTTCCCTGTATTGAGGACAAACCTGTTTAAACCTAACAAATACAAGCACATTGCTGTTGATGTCTGGGCAGGTGCATTTACTCATCTTCCCTTGTGAAATCCTGAGTCCACGGAATCCTAAAATCACAGAATGGTTTGGGTTGGAAGGGACATCTAGTCCAACCTCCCTGCAATGAGCAGGGATATCTCTGGCTAGGTCAGGTGCTCAGAGCCCCATCCAAACTGACCTTGAATATTTCCAGGGATGGGACATCTGCCACCATTCTGGGCAACCTGTTCCAATGTTTCACCACCTTCACTGTAAAAAAAGTTCTTCCTTCTGTCTAGTCTGAATCTACCCAAATCTTTTAGTTTAAAACCATTACCCCTTCTCCTACTGCAATAGATGCTACTAAAGTTTGTCCCCATCCTTCTTATAGGCCTCCATTAAATACTGAAAGGTTGATAAAAGGTCTTCCTGGAGCCTTCTCTTCTCCAGGCTGAACAACCCCAGTTCATCTTCAGAGCAGAATTGGCTTTGTAAAAACAACCTTTGCAGCATGGCCCTGGAAAACAATATTTGAATATTTAAACATACTAAATAAGTTGTTAGACCAGATATAGGTTATTCTGAGCAATGAGTCTTGTACTGTGTTTTGCATATCCAACACCTTTGCTCAGATTGAGGTGACTGGGAACTTTAGTTGAGCAGGATTAGACCTACCATGTAGTAAGTGCTAATACCATATAGACCCTTTCCTACCTGTACTTCCCAAAATACTGCTTCCCAGCCTATTCCTTCCCCTAGATCACATAGCTCTTTATTCCTTTTGCTTTTTATTTTCATGAGAGTTCTGAAATTATGAGCAATAAAAGAAAGTTAATATAATTGGGATTTATTATTCTTACTGCTTCATTAGGGAAATTATTGCTTGTTTTAGAGATAGGAACTTATTGTCACCCTTCTGAATTATTGAGGATTCATTCATTTTTCACTTGGATTGTGAAAGTCTATTATGCATGTGTATCTGAAAGTCAACAGTATTAAACATTAATGCCTAATGGCCTTGTCTTGGAGTGTCCTTGAACATGCTAAATGACTCTGCTCCACCAGAATACCCTTGAGATTTCTTCAGTGGAAATAAATGAGCAGAAACTAGATGAATGTTATTTAATAGACAGTCAGCATTCTCTGAATTCACAAGTTTGGAAAAATATCATCACAAGAAGCCCCCAAAGACTACAATCATATCAGTAGAAACTAGAGAGATGATGGAATATGTTACTAGCATAGCACTCAGTCTATTTATTACCTATGAATATGGAAAATTAAGTGGGGAAGAGGGAATCCCCTTCAGTAGGGATGCTCAAAGGCTGCTGCTCTGGGTGATTGTCACAAACATCTCTTCTGGGTGGCTGCAGATACCCCTGAACCAGGCTCTAGTCCTCATTAACAGAGAAGTGGAAAAGATTCCTTTGCTTCCTTAGGCATGTTCCCCACACCCCAGGTAACTAACAGGGGAAGGACACCTCTGTAGGATAACTGAATTTCCTCCCACTGTACAGCAATGGGCTGCTGTGGATGGAGAGTCCTGGAGCTTGCCTTGGCACTGTTGATCTGCCAGTCAGCTGTCAGGGAGCTGTCATAGAACTACCACCACGTTTTTTCACCACCACCTCAAAGGAGAAGATCACTAAGAGGCAGGTTTTGTCCCTCTAACTGATCTACCTGTAGGCTGGTACAAAACCAACCTGCCCTTTGTTTGAGACTCAAATATTTGGTGCTTGGTGGATGTGTGTTAGGCATTCGAGATAAAATGGACTTTGAACTGGAGTGTGATAGCCTCATTTCCTTGTCAAGAAGGTTGACTGGTTTGCTTCCTTTATTCAGTATGTAAAACAGATTTTTAAAGCTGAGTGAAGATGCTTTTCTATGTAATGAAATAGCTAATGCCACTGAAGAAATAAAGTGATTTTTGATATTAGGAAGGTCAGAGTTTGGTGATGGAGAGTGCAGCAAATGAAGGTCGAGGTTGTTCTTAACTGAAGAGAAAAAACAGGTTGTGGCTGATCTCTGATGTTTTGCTCAATACAGGATGACAGCATGTGCAGTGACAATGAAAAAATATGTGGAGGAGAATGTTTCCCAGAATTCTTATACCACAATAAAATATTTCATGAAGATGCTGAGCAGCATCAGCGAGACCCTGATTTTTGTGTTCATGGGAGTGTCTACAGTGGGGAAGAACCACGAGTGGAACTGGGCCTTCATCTCCTTCACTCTGCTCTTCTGCCTCATTTGGAGGGCACTGAGTAAGTCAACCTTCTCTTCACCTCTGAAAGAAACCCTTTGCTGCAAAGGTGTTTCAGAAAAGTCTGTGCAGACTGGCACAACTGGTTTAACAACAATTTCACGAGATTTATGTTACTGACAAGTTAATTTCACAAATCTACACATGGAGGAAAAGGGGGCAAAAAGCTCCAAACAAATCTGACTGCAAGTCTCCAAGCACAGGCTTTATGATTAGGTGAAAATGAAATATTTGAAGCAAAATTCAAATCTTACCATGATGATGCTTGTGTAGATGTTTATATCTGAGTTAAGTATATGCCCTTGGGTAAGCAGACCTCATAATGATTTCATTGCACACTGTCATTAACTTACTAATTGGATAATATATATCATCACATTTCTAGTGTTATAACACTATGTGTCCTGTGCCAGGAGTGCTGGAGGCATTGAAAAAGAGTGAATGTGAAAATTAGAACTGATAGATAAATGAACAGGTACTTACAACACTTGTAGGCCAACCACACTATGCCACTGCTCCTTACAAGTCAGCTCTGAAGATTAAAATTACTAGAAAGTAGTCCCTGTATGAAATTACTCCATTTTTATACATTCTTTCCCACTCCTGCCAAAGTCTTCTACTCCCTGATCTGTGAGACTGGGATTCCTCCAGTATGGGTAGGACAGTTCACAGATAATGTCACACGAGCTTTGTGACACAGTTTCTCATCTTCTACTAATGGCCAGGATGGGTTGAAAGTGCTGTTGAAAAGGAAGCAGTAATGAGGCTGGTGGTGTTCTGGAGGTTGTAGCAGTCCTGACACACCTCTCATACAAACTTCTTTTGGGCCTGTTAGCCAGGTCTTTGTCACTATGGAAGCAGAGAGGCAACACCATCTTCTGCCTCACCTACTAGGACTGTTCAGTCAAACATTCTAGCTGACAAAAGAAGAGAAGGAATGACCAACCCTCTAGTGATGTCATCAGTGGTGCCTGCAGGAGTTGCTAATTAGGAAAGGCTTGCAAGTCTTGCAACTTTCTGTGCTCTGTTCACCTCCTGCTTCCCCAGCATCTACAGTCACTGTGTTAGGGATGTGAGAGGGTACACTCCTTGCCTACACTATTTTATAGGGGTCTGTTTTGGGTGGCCTGCCCAGGAGATTATGCCATCTCTTTTTTGACCCTCAATACTATATTCTGCATCAGGTTTAGTTACATCTGCTGCAACGGGAAGCAAACATGTTTACTCCTGGTGAGGTGAGGAATTATGGAGCACATGCTACTCAGCCAATGTTATTTTTTCTTTAAGTTTAGTTAGAAATAGGATTTAATGATGCTTTTGCAATGAAAGGTGTTTTGGGAGTAGTACATGACAGAATGAAAAATAAAATTATGCAGGCAACCTTGTTTCTGACATCTTTAAACTTCTGAGTGCCTGACTTTGTCATCTTAATAACATTATTTTTCAAAGCCAGTAGCTTTTTTTTCAGGACTATTTATAAGTTTAAAGAAAATGAGAAATCCCAATAGTCAATCAAGTGACCTTGAAAGAGGTAGTTGGGGCACTGAAATTTAGGCAGCTACCTGGGCTAAGTTAGTAGGTTAGTTCTGTGGTTCATTTATCATCAAAGGAGGACCCTCTGAAGCATCCCATGGGGCAGAAGTTTACATTGGGCTCCTGCCACCACCTCCTTCAGCCTTCAGCTCCTGTCTATATTCCCTTTACAAGCAGAACTGGTGGCTAATGGCATCCCTTGGGGCCCAGTGCAGAGACCATTTTTTTATTAAAAGACTTCCTTAATGACCTGGAGGATGGAATGAAGTGAACACCAAGCAACTTTGTGGCTGACAGAAAACTGCAGGGAGTAGTCAATATTTTGGATGGCTTCCATTCAAAAGGACCTGGACAGGCTGGAGAAATGGAGGACAGAAAGTTCATGAAGTTCATGAAGAGCACGTGCAAGGACTTACATTTGGGCTGGAATAACTTCATACACCAGTATAGGCTTGGAGTCTAGTAAGCAGCTCTGCAGAAAAGGACCTGGTCTGATAGACAATAAGTCGAATTATGTCCTTGTGACAAAGAAGGTCAAGATTTTGGTACATTAGGGGCACATTTGCAAGTGTGTAGCCAGCTGGTTCAGCAAAATGTTTCTTACCTTCTCTTCAGCACTGGTGGAAATGTGTGCTGTCTTCAGAGTGCTCTCTCCAGTTCTGGGTTCCACAGTATAAGAAGAACATGGAGGTTCTGGATGAAATGCATTCGAGGTCACCAAGCTGGTCAGAGGTTGGAGCACCAGTCTATCTGAGAGTGCTGAGTTTGTGCAACCTGGGGAAGATCTGGCACAGGAGAGAACTTAATACAAGTACCCAGTCAGAGGAGAGAGAGAGCAAGAAAATGGATCCAGACTTCTTAGAGATGCACAGCAATAGGGCAAGAGAGAACAGACACAGGCTGTAACATGGGAAATTCTCATTAAACAGTAGGAACCTGTGACTTAACATGAAGGTGACACAACATGAAGGTAACAGTGGCCCAGACCTCCATTCTTAACGGCATTCGAGACTTGACTGGAGGTTTGAGCAACCTGATTTGATTAACTCTGCTTTGAGTAGGGACTTAGACTACATGAACTCCAAAGGTCCTTCCCAGCCTACATCACTCTGAGCCTAACTTTTGGGACTGGATACGTGTTGGCATCAAACATCTGAGATTAAGGTTTTGTTTCTTAACTCTCAGGTGGTTTATCCCTCAGTCAAAAAGAATGCCAGAGCAGGATTAAGATGATGGTTTGACCCTCAAAACCCATATACATTTCAAGACCTTTTACTTTTAAGCCTGGGCACCCTGAAGGAAGACATCTTACAGAGGAAAAAAAGAAAAAGGAAACCTGTGAAGGTTCAAGTATGTGCATCTGAACCACTCTATTATATAAGAAGACACAAGTTCGACAGTAGACATGATATGATTCTAGTGGGTTAACAGCAAGGAGAAAGTAATTACATATTTTCTTGCTATTAATAGACCAAACACGGCCTTTAAGTTTTTAAAGACTTGTTTTCAGACTCTGTTTTGAAATATCCTTCCAATCAAGACAGAAACAGTGCTCTCCTGATATAAAAACTCTTTTCCTGCCACATGTCTATCCTTCTCTCAGACACCAAGGGGAGTGCTAGAGCTTTCCAGAGGAAGGCCAAAATATTTTCTGCTAAATTTTTTGTGTTAAAATGATTACATCATTTTCTCTGAAGCTTGAATAAAGTAAAGAGAATTGGCCTAAGGGTGATAGCTCACATACGAAGTTTCAGTCTGAGCAGCTGATGTCTAGCATAGTTATAAGTAGCCAAAAAGGTCTTGCATAAAGTCATATCCAACAATCTACATAACAATATACTGCTACTGGCTTTGCCTCTAATAATCTGAGTTTATCAGTGACAGCTGTGTAGAACAACACCAGCATTTGCATCAGTAATTTAACAGTTTCCACACAAATCTTGGGATATTTTCTTACGGAAGATGAAGAAGATTAAATCAAGCAAATTGCTAAAAGTCCTCTAGAAAGAAAAGCTTACACAGCCACAGACTATCTTATTAATGTTAACTTTTATTAAAATCAAAATGAAATTTGAGAAATAAACAGAGAATTACAGACACAATAAGCCAGAGGATTAAAAATTAAAATGCTATTACTCTTTGCCTTTCAGTGAACCTGTCCAAAGGACTTGTTGGTAAAGAACTGTTCAAACACTTTGGGCAGATACTGTGCAGAAAGTGGGAAACATTGCAAGGAAAAACTCTCATTCAGTGGTTTTTCTTGTCTCCAAAACACTATGAAGAAAACTATGCAACATAAATATAGCAAGTAAATATTTTACACTAATCTCACTTCTAAACTGTTTAAATGAATTTCAATCCTGAAGTCGTAAGGAGCCATAATCTTTTATAGGAGATAGGAGATAGGAGATATGGGCAGTGTGCACTAGCAGCCCAGAAAGTCAATCAGTCCTGGGCTGCATCCACAGGAGTGTGGGCAGCAGGTCAAAAGAGGTGATTCTTCTCCTTTACTCTGCTCTCCTGAGACCCACCTGGAATACTGCACACAGTTCTGGTGTACTCAGCATAAAGAAGGACATGGAACTGTTGGAGCAAGTCCAGAGGAGGCCACAAAGTTGCTAACAGGACTGGAGCATCTCCCCTGTGAGGACAGGCTGAGGGAGTTGGGGCTGTTCAGCCTGGAGAAGAGAAGGTTGTGTGGAGACCTCAGAGCAACTTTTCAGTCTCTGAAGGGGCTACAAGGAGCCAGAGAGGGACTCTGTGTTAGGAACTGCAGTGACAGGACAAGGGGTAATGGGTTCAAACTGAAGGAGGGAAAGTCTAGGTTAGGCATTAGGAAAAAGTTTTTCCCTGTGAGGGTGGTGAGACACTGTCCCAGGTTGCCCAGGGAGGCTGTGGCTGCCCCAACCCTGGCAGTGTTCAAGGCCAGGCTGGATGAAGCCTTGAGCAACCTAATCCAAAACTGAAGAAAACACCCTTTCAACATCCATGACATTGTTTTGCTTTAAATATTTTCCTTTTTTCCTTGATTAATAATAGCTGTGAGATTTTTTTTCCCTTCCTAGGTGTATTTGCTCTCTTCTACGTCAGTAACAAGTTCCGAACATATCCCTTCACCTTCAAAGACCAACTCATTATTTCCTACAGTGGCCTTCGAGGACACAGCAGCTTTTCTCTTGCATTCTTGCTTCCAGTGAATCTCTTCCCCAGAAAAAACTTGTTCATCACTGCGACCCTTGTAGTGATATATTTCACTGTGTTCATCCAAGTAAGTGTATTTTTTAATGGATTGCTTCCATGCAATAGAGGTGACTAAAAGCTTCGTTGTGGAAATTGCATTGAATTTGCTCTCAGACTAGGACAAGCTACTGCATTTTATGGCTTGATTTAGCACTGCACTGTGTAATTACCCTTTCAGGGCTTTTTAGGTATTATTAAATAACTTTTACAGAAAGTCTGTATTGAAAATATTTGTCTTTTAAAATATTCAAGGGAAAGGGCACTTTGTGTCCAAAATTGCTTATGTTCACTCCACATTCAAGTCCTGATGCTTCCAAATTAAGAAGTGTTTTAAGTTTACACTTCAGCACATAATAATTTGTTACTAGTGATGTATCTCAAACTGAAGGGGAAACAATATGTCTGTTCTGTGAAGGATTTTGAGTTTGATAGTTTTATCTTCATTCATCTTGGAGACCAAATAAGAATATTTGAAATCCTTTGTAAAAGAACAGGAAAGAAAAAAGAAAGTGAAAAATTCATATTTGTAAGAATTGGTGCCTACTTTAGATATTTGAGTTATTCCACCTGGCTTACGGAGCTGTACATGGAAGAGCTGAATCTTCCACCAGAATGTGTCATAAAAAAACCCATTTTGTTTCTATTTCCCTTTTAAAAATGCTATTTAAATGCATTTTAAAATTCTATTTAAATGCTATTAAAATGTGGCAGTGCAGTAAAAACTTAGGAACAACTGAAAACTGTTTCTAAGTAAGAAAACCCCCAAAATATTGAATTCTGAAAATGCTGAAGCAGAAGGTTCCAAGATTGCAAGACCTCACAGAGATAATATTTTCTTTCAAATGAGCTGTTTTGAAGGAGGCTGGCAATGAGTCTGTTACTTTACATGGTTAGAACATGCCATTAAGTTCAATCTTGCTTGAAAAAATCCCCACCTGATGTACAATTTTTTATGTTTTTAATGTTTAATCCTCTTCTGTGCCTCTCCATACAAGTAATAAAAGACTTGTGTGTCTAAGACACCTTTCCTAACTGATCCAAATTAAATCTTTTTGCTTTCTTTCTGTGTTTTTTTCCCCCTAAAATATAATAAACGATTCAACTCATTGTTCCAAACATAGGGAATCACAATTGGACCATTGCTCAGATATCTGGATGTTAAAAAGACCATCAAAAAGGAATCTATCAATGAAGAAATTCACGTGCGAGTAAGTTTTTTATCTCAGGAGCTGGTAACCCAAAACAAAGAGGAAATGTGTTCCAAAAGTGCTGGACAGAGGGAGGCACTTGGAAGCACTGGCATTCAGTGGATATGGACACACAATGTTTTTAAGAATATGGGGAGGAAACCCTAGGCATAATTTTCTAAAATGTACTATCTATGGAGGAAACCCAAGGCATAATTTTCTAAAATGTACTATCTCATTTATACTCATAGTGACTATCACATTATAATATCATCCCACAAGTGTCATGGTGTATCAAGGTCTTTACTTCTTGGTACTTGTGACCATGGGAGAACAGAAACATACAGGTAATATTTACAAAATGCACTCCCTATCCTTCCTAGCTAGATTTGTCAGATAGATTTGTTGTCATCTCTTGACTGGTTCCAGACACACTGACACCTTAAAAGTCTTTCATCAAGTTGCATTGAACCGAAATGAGTTGAGGCATTGGACTGTAAATTTAGTTTCAAGTTATTCTGAGTCATGATCTTTTCCCCTCTCAAACGTTCACTTCAGTTCTCAAATTGCCATTGTATAAAAGAACAGAAAGCTGCTCAAACTGATTTAACAACACTATAGAAAAAGTATGTCCATTCTTTCATTTTCACAATACATTTGAAATGAACAGAAACACTGCCTTAAAATGAAGCACATGCAGAGACATTAGCAAAATTAGAGCATCTCAACTGATTTGAATTTGAAGTGAATTTAATTCTTACTTTTTCAGCCTTAACACTTAACCTTAAAAAGAATTTACATTTAAAAGCACCACTTATAACAGTATGTCTGTAAGAATTGGCCTTTTTCTGTTTGTTTCTATAAGGCTAGAAGCACACAAAAATTGACTGAAAATCATCAGAATTAGCAGTGATAAATCTTACCATTCTCCTGACAATTTGCAAACTCCTCAGAGGACTTGGCAGTCAGGTTAAGGTGTCAGGTACCTGACCCTGTGCCTCTCTCAGGGAAGTCACACAGGCAGAAGGAAAACCTGGTTGACAGAACCAAGAATTTGGTTTTTAGGCTCAGTAAGCAAAAAGGACCAGGTGACTTGTTGCCTCCATCAAAAAATTGTCACTGCAGCCAAGCATAGGAGCTGCCACAACAGGATCTTTGCCTTGATTTTTAGAGAAATGTAATGTAGATGCTTTCAGACTTAACTCACATGCTCCAATTATAAAAAAAAAAAAAAGTAGTAAAAAAAAAATCTCAAAATCCTTCCCACAAGTGCATATTTGTGGTAACATTATTTTCTCATAATGGCCACTTAATATTTTCCCATGCTTTTTTCTTTAGCTGATGGATCACTTGAAGGCTGGTATTGAAGACATATGTGGACATTGGAGTCATTATCAGCTGAGAGATAAGTAAGTTACTCTTACTACAGCCTAATAGAATAAAATAACCTGTCATGTAAAATACAAAAGGAAAATAGAATAGGAAATCAAAATGCTGGGGACATGTGCAATATCTCCTTTTAAAGAGTGAACTCCTGAGTAACCATGACCTCTTGGGAGTGCACTTCTCATATATTGCCTGCAAAAACAAGCAAAAAATAAGCTTTCTGAAAGAAAAACATAGCATGGGACTTTGTGCTGCAGCCATCAGCCTGTGCACATAGCTTTGGTATAAATCTTAGGGACCTGGCAATGCTCCTTTAGGTCTGGATTTGGAACAGAAGCTACATAAGGTGTGAGTGCTTCACTGACTTTTGCTGTAATCCTCCACAGCAAATATGATCCCTCCTGGTGAGTACAGATTCAGTAATAATTACTCACCTGTCCTTGCAGGTCTTTGCATTCAGTAATATTTAAAATATGAGTACTGAAGGGAATAACAGAATTTAAATATCCAGTAGCATAAGCAGATACTCTCAAGTTAGTCCTCACTCAGAAATGCAGAACATGCAGTGTCTCTTCTATAAGCAGGATGAAGTGTTTTTGTGAAGATTTGTGGCTCTTCCAAGCACTGCCCAGAGGAGATGGATATGCTGTTCCCTTTACCTTTTCCCCAAGGGACCTCTGTGATCATGTTAGTTACACAACAGCATGTGAAGGGAAGAGAGGGAAAGACTAATCTTTCTTTCTCACAGATCTTTATTATGATGCTGTGAGCTAGAAGGTATCCCTAGTTATCCTAGCTATGTCTAGGCTTCTGTGCTGGAAGTTGCTGTCTCACTGGTGAGCACTGGACTCCAGTAATCCAGCCAGGGGGGTCTGCTGGGACTTATGGCAACTCCTTTCATGCCTGAGTTTCTTCCTATGGAAAGGGAGAAGAAGGTTGCTGGTTTGCATCCAGTTCTTGCCCCAATGAGGAGTAATGATGTGATATCCTAGGGCATATCCAGAAACTAAAACACCTTCTTGGCTCTGACAGCAGAGAGATGGTTTTAGGACATCCATCAGCTGGCACAACACCACTGTCTGTGCAGTCAGTAAACTAAATAAATCCCTGTTGGAGCTGTAATTCCATTGAAATAGCTGCATTTACACATATCTGTGAGTAAATGCTATCCCTTTATCTCACATCTACTGGATAGCTCTGAACATAGAATTTTTCCCAAACTAGTCATAAATGTAGTGTTTTGGTTCAAGGGAGAGATTAAAAAAACCCCACACTGTGTCTGAAGACATCTAACATAAGAAGATTGTATCAAAAGGTATTCCCTAAACTTTTCTACATAACTTTAAAGATGTATATCGGAATTAAACACCTACATCATGACAATCCAGGAGGTTTTCAGTTACTGAGAAAAACATAAAGAGCTCTAATCCCAGTGGAAACATTTGTGTACCTACCTCTGCTAATCATGAATAAAAAACCCAGCCTTTGTTAAGGAAAAAAAAAAAGATACAAATTTTGTAGTGCTTTTCCTAGCATTGTGGAGCACATTAGCTTGAGTGGGAAAGTGTTCCTTTGAAAGAAACAGAACTGTTGCTCTGGTAAACCTCTGCCTGAAAGCACATACCTGTTCGAGGCACATGCACACATTCACATTCAAATTATGCCACACATTAGTGATATTTTACAATCTGCAGCATGTGAGCACACAGTATTTTGGGGCCCATTCAATTACTCTGTTATGCAGAACACAAAGAACTGTATTTTCTCTGCTCTAATTGTCAGGATTCAAAATTATCAGCAGCATAATGAGCCCAAACTACTGTAACTGTTGGGCCATTTAGAGCCTCATTGGTGGCTGGTTGAATAGGCCAGGATTACTGTAAGAGCAGCTGCTGCTGTTATGCCCTACTAGAATACAACATTTGTACAAAAGCATGGAGACTGGCCATATTCTTTTCTGACAAATGTGGTGGTGTTATATACAAACACACAGCACAGCCCTTTTTTTTGCTCTGATTGCAGCTTGTTTCTCTCTTTTGTCTGCTGAGCTTTGCAATCTCTGGGGACCAGTAGACTATGCCAAATACCCCCCAAAGGTCTCTGCTCACTAGGCCTTCAGGAGTCCACAGGTGCCTCTAATTTGGATTCAGTTTCCAGCACTAAATTATATATGTGTGCATTTGAATGAAAATCAGCTTGTACTACTGAAGACTAAACACATTTTCCTTTTTTTTTTTTTCCCACTTTGATTTTGGTATCTCTTTTGCAGATTTAAGAAGTTTGACAATAAGTATTTGAAGAAAATTTTAATTCGGGATCATCAGCCCAAATCTAGCCTTGTGTCCTTGTACAAAAAGATGGAGATAAAACTGGCCATTGAGATGGCTGAGAGTGGCATGAAAATTTCCACATCATCCAATACATCTTTACAGTAAGTACTGACCTCCTGATCCTTTGCAGAGCAGAGAGTGGAAGGAAGGGGACAAAAAATGAGGAAATATCCAAAGGCTTATATGACTTCAGTAAAAATGTAAGACAATAAAAAAGGGACAGTTATGAAAAAAATGAAGCTGCAATTTGGTGCCTGTTGTATTTGCACTTTGGCTCTTTGTTCAGAGAGTGAAAATTAAAACCAAGGACATATTCTCTGTTTCTCTTCAATGATGGACTGTTTCGAAGAGGAATCATGAGTCAGGTGCAGAAGACACTCTGGTTGCTTAACTCACAGCTCAGGATGGCTGTACTTATCACTTACCTGGCCAGTGGATTTTGCTCATCACTTCTAGGTGCTGAGAGAAGTGCAGGATGTCTTAGAGCACAGGTCCTGATTCCATTAGCCCAATAGCAAATTTTCCTGAAAGCAGATTTCTTTGTAACATTTGCAATTTTTGCAACCTCAGTTTTCAGTCCCTCAAGCTGTCTTGACATAGTTTGGTATTTCCATAGCAAATGTGTCCACTTAAACATGGGGAGAAGCCCTGTCAAGAAGGACTTGAGGGTAGTTGTGGATGAAAAGTTGGACATCAGCAGGCAAAGTGTGTTTGCAGCTCAGAAAGACAACCATATCCTGCATCAAAAGCAGCATGACCAGTAGGTGAAGGGAGGTGATTTTTGCCCTCTATTCTTCCCTTCTGAGACCCCACCTAGAGTTCTGTGTCCAGTTCTGAGGTCCTTGGAACAGGAAAGACATGGACCTGTTGGAGCAGGTCCAGAGGAGGATCACAAAGATGATCAGAAGGCTGAAGTACTTCTCCTGTGAGGAAATCTTAAGAGAGTTGAGGCTGTTCAGCCTGGAGAAGAGAAGACTCCAGGAGACCTGACTGCAACCTGTCAATACTTACAAGAAAGATGGGACAGACTTTTTAGCAGGCTCTGTAGCACCAGCACTAGGACTATTGGTTTTAAACTAAATGAGAGTAGATTCAGACTAGCTACAAGGAAGAACTTTTTTACCCTGAGGGTAGTGAAACACTGGAAGAAGTTGGCTGGAAAGGTGGCAGATGTCCATCCCTGGAAACATTCAAGGTTGGGTGTGATAGGGCTCTGAGCAACCTGAGCAAGTTGAAGATGTTCCTGCTCATTGCAGTGAGTTTGGAACTAAATGCAAACCATTCTAAGATTCTATGAAACAGTAATGCAAATCAGCATCAGACAGACCAGAGGAAAAAACTGGTGGGATCTCCAGAGCTGTCACTGAGGGAATCACCCTCTAGGAGAGAAGTCTGTAAAATCTTCACTCCTGCATACTACAGCTGACATGGATGTATTTATCCTCACCTTGCTACACATTGTCCAGAGCATGGTTATTGCTCAAGGCACTTTCCTCCACAAACTCTTTCCTGGGCTCCCACTGACCACTGTTGCTGCTGTTGCCTGCTCTTGCCTGCTGCATCCTTGAACCCCTCTCCATTTTGCAGCAGCCTCTGGCAGGGCCCAGCATATTTCCTTTTTTGAATGAGCATCTCTAGCCATACCAGAAAGTCCAAATACCAACAGGATTTTAAATTAAAATATCTCTTGAAACTTTAGCTTAATCACGTCAAGATTCAACTGCTTTCTTGAAACTGATGTCAGCATGCAGTGTAAGACCCAGTCCTTTTATCTCTAAATCATTCTCTGCTGAACAGATGATGTTAAAAAAGACTGCTTGTCTGTCAGGCTCCTTTCTGTCTGCTGTATAACCTTAACTGTTCTGAGCCAAGAGAAAATGTGCAAGGTTGTTAGACAATCTATGGCAATCAAACAACATCTCTCTTCTTTTCCTGAGGGAGAGAAAACAAGCAGAAAATAGGAATAATTGCTCCAGCATAGTTCAAAAATTCTCTCCTGAGATGAAAATATAGATTGAAAAATATTCTATAATAAACAGCTGATATGATGGACTAATTTTTGCCAGCTCTACGCCAGCTATAATTGAATTTTGCTATTCATCATCCTCTGATGCACAGGTTCTCCTGCTGAGGCAGCCTTCTCAAAAATGAAGCATCAACTTCAAAAAAAAGGCCTGTGGCTCAAAAACATTCTTATTCTTGCAGACTGTGAGAGTATTCTAGGAAAAGACATGTTTACTCAACTCTGGTCATTGATAGGTGTCTGCTGTCAAGCAGTGGAGGAGAGAGAATAGTGAGATAGTTGTTGGATCTTTGGTCTGAACCAATGCAGCAATTCTTGTCTCCATTCCCCTGGGCAAATAAGTGAACCTGTTCTAAAGTATTTATAAATTGTCTGATTGTTACCATTGAGTTAGCTTGTAGCTAAAGTCCCTGTCTTCAGTGAGGATGCAAAAATCTGGCCATGAACAAGAGGAGATTGGAAATAAAAATGCAATATATGGCATATAAAGCATTATTAGCAGTGCCAGAGTAGTGAGAAAACTCTCACACTTCTGATCAGTTTTATGCTCACTAGGGGAATTGCTTTATATGAATCAAGGCAGATCTCTATCACTATGAATTAGCAAAATTGTATTGATGCTGGTGTGATTCCTGCAGGTGGAGTGGGTGTCCAACATGCAATAAGAATTTCCAGTGTGAACTGAAAACATTTGCCCATGGATTGTGCAACAAAGAATCCACATTTGAATGAAAATAGAGTATGATGTTTTGGAGAATATAAGCTTAAAAATAAGGATAGAAATAGTGAAAGCAGAGTTAAGCAGATAATATCTAAATGGTGGTTTTATGGCTGGTTTTTGGAGGAAATATGCCTGTTAGAGAGTGTTGTGGTTTAACCCCAGCAGCCACCAAACATCATGCAGCCACTTGCTCACTCCCCCACCAGCAGGATGGGGGAGAGAGTCAGAAGGGTAAAAGCTAGAAAAACTCATGGGCTGAGATAAAGACAGTTTAATAGAAAAAGCAAAAGCCACACACAGAAGCCAAGCAAAACAAGAAATTAATTCACTGCTTCCCACAGCAGGAGGTGTTCAGCATCTCCAGGAGAGCAGGGACCAGCACATGTAATGGTTCCTTGGGAAGACAAACACATCACTCCAATTGTCCCCCTTCCTCCTTCTTCCTCCCACTTTATATTCTGAGCATGATATCATATGGATGGAATATCCCTTTGGTCAGGTTGGGTCACCTGTCCCAGCTGTGTCTCTTCCCAATCTCCCATGTAGCCCCAACTTCCTTGCCAGTGT